CCAAAAACTATTTTGTGGCTTGATCAGTTGAGAGAAGAATGAGTGTACATTGAAATCTTCTGACTTGCCAATGACCTTGAGCTCTTCCAAGCAGGAAAATACCAGCAAAAGGCTGTGAGATGCAGGAAGATACAGGGGGCTCAAGAATGGCTGAAGATGTTCCCCATGGGCAAGGTCAGGTTGAGTAAAGCATTCGAATTGCACTTTTTTTTTTTTTGAGACTGAGTTTTGCTCTTTTTGGCGAGGCTGGAGTGCAATGGCAAGATCTCGGCTCACTGCAACCTCTGCCTCCAGAGTTCAAGTGATTCTCCTGCCTCAGCCTCCCGAGGTGCCTGCCACCATGCCAGTTAATTTTATATTTTTAGTAGACATGGGGTTTCATCCTGTTGGCCAGGTTGGCCTCGAACTCCTGAACTCAAGTGATCTGCCTGCCCCGGCCTCCCAAAGTGCTGAGATTACAGGCATGAGCCACCATGCCCAGCCTGCACTTTGTTTTTATGAGATGTGTAAAGAGAATACAAGTAAATACATCATATATATCAGTTTAGAAAATAATAGTGAATACATCATATATACCAGTTTAGAAAATAATAGTATAAGCTGCACCTTTGAGGACGAGAGATTTAAAGCTGTCAGCGACAGCCCAAGGAAAGATTTTGGGTCAATATAATCCAGTGCTTCTCAACCTGTTTTCCATTATTATTCCCCCACCCCCACCAAGTACTTTTTTTAACCTACTTTTCCCCCAGTTGCCACCACCTTCCATGAAATTTTAATAACATGGAATATTGCATTTCTGTTTATGTCCTGTGGCCCTTTGCAGGGCCATAAGTCATTGTAATATCTAAGATTTTTCGTCTCCCAAGAACCAAGCGTTGTCTCCTTGGGAATGATGGTGGCTCTGTTGAGAATGCATGCTGTGAGGGACTTGCTGAAGAATTGGGCCCAAAGTGTGACTTCATTCAAACAACAACAAATTGCTGAATATCTAAGGATGGAACTGGGAACAAGAGTCTTCTCTTGCCTTCCCCTCAAGCCGAACAAAATCCCAAAGATGTGAGGTGAGGTGGGGTGCTCCTGACCAGCTTTTAAGTGACCACATTGAGTTCCTTAGCCCTCTGCCTTCAAGTTGGGTTTGGCCAATGGGGAGCTCAGCAGGAGATTGGAGGAGTGAGGAGGGAATGTGTGGTGAGAGTGTATGTCCCACCTTGTAAGGACACCCTGTATGGTGGGGTCCTTTGCTCACTTCTTCAAGTGCCAACTCTACATGACTCCTGGGTTCTTCTTCCAGGTTCTGAGTTCTGGTAATAGCTCTCATTCCCTTCCTTTGGTGGGGGATAGAGATGGAAATAGCTTGGCTGCCACTGGCTCAGGTCATAGCTATCCTTTGGGGTTCCCCTGGACATACACATTTGTAAATGTGTCTTATGCACACCGTGCTGTTTCCTATTGGGACCTTGAATGATAGAGGGAGAAATTCTTTTTGCTGAATCCTGGGAGAGGCTTTCTGGAGCTGGAATGAGGCCAGAAGGCCTAGGGCTGGGTAGGATGGACCAGGACAACAAGCCATTAAAATGTTGAAAAACAGAGGCTGACAGGGCCCTTGGCTGGAATGAGAGTGGGAGAAGGAACCTCCCCCAAACACAGCTGTAGGGATCCTCTAGAGCTTAAGAGGCAATTATTAGAAATATCTTGGTCTATCTCCTTCCCGTAGGGGGGAATGATGTGGCACTTTGTCCACCTCAGGGGGTAGCCTTGGCTGGGGTTCACGAAGAGGTGAACAGAGAAACATAAACGTTCTTCACACAGACCTCAAAGGGATCCTTTAAGGTCAGGGTCCCTGGGACATCCTCACTCTTGCGGATGATGCAGGGGAGGTGGCCGGTGTGAGTGGATCATTGCTCCTGTAGGTTTAGGGCAATACATGGGTGTGCTCCTGGGTGGAGGGAAAGGAACACAGGCTTTTGGGGGCAACAGCCTAGGCTTGGATCCCTACTTTTCACCTTTCTGGGCCATCACCCACCTCTCAGAGTTGCCATGAGGATTAAATGAGAAAGTGCACAGAAAGTCACGCAGGCCTGCCCTGCAGCCAGCTACAGCCCCACCCCTCTTCCTAGCGAACTGAGTAGTCTCACGCTCAGAGTCCAAGTCTCCTTTCCTGGCTCTGCCCTCAGGAGCAGGGGCAACCAAGTCTTAGATGCTCCAGGCTCCAGAAGCCTCGGAGTGCAAGCAAGAAGCTGTTGTCATGGATGGGGGGTGGGTGGGCACATTATCCTAAGGCCTCCTAATCCCATTTTCTGCTTTCATGTTAATCCTCTTCCTCCTTCTGTCTACCACACACTGAACTCCCAGGGCACTGACCCAGAGAGCCGGGCCCCACCTCCCCCAGTTGAAGGCCCTATTCCCTATGGTGGGAGGGCGGGGCGGGGCAGAGGGGGCGCTGCAGAGCCAAGGGGTGGGCACTCCAGCTCGTGCCTTGCTCCTCCACAGTTGACCTGGACATTCTTCCAGGCCAGGCCATGGATAACACTGAGGGCTCAGCTTGCTAATAAATAATAATAATGACAGCATCAGCCAGCATTTCCTAAGCATGTACTGTTTGCTGACCCTGGCTAAGGCAGGATTTTACTCAGTTTCTGTAAGGTTGCTGTGAAGCAGATTATTCATCTGAAATTTGCAGATGGGGAAATGGAGGCTCAGGGAGGTTGTCATGAACCAGATCACATGAGCAAAAAACAGAACCGTCCGGGACTCCTGTCCAGCTCTGGCTGGCTCCAGAGCCTCACGGGGAACCACTAGGTCACACTGCCCTCCTGCATTGCTTCCTCAATTCAGGAATGCAACTGGGGGATTCTTTCCCAATCCCCACCCTTGCCTTCCCTCCTCTGGCGACTGTCACCTGAGGCTTCAGTTGGGTGAATGTATTTTTTCCGTTCACTGCACCTGGGTATCACTAGCATTGCCGTGGAGTAGGAAGAACGTGGGCTTGGTGGGTGGAAGGGGAGGTGGTGTGTGTTTCTGGATGACATAGGTGGCTCCCTGTGAAAGGTCGTCCGGGAGAGGAATGATTTTGCTTCAGGCTTTCCTTTACCTCCCCTTTCTTTCTGGCACTCCATCCTTTCTCCATCCCCAGTTGTAAATGCCCTTCTCTTGGCTCTGCAGGACTGAGTCAGGCCATTTTTGCCCCCAGAAATAGGTTCTGGGACAAGGCTCACTCACTAAGGAAGAAGCCGTCCACCATCCCCTTCAGCCACTGTGCATGAGTCTTTCTAAAAAGATGTTATGACTTGCAGGACCTCCATTTCCATTTGTTACACACTCACAGGAAGGAGGCGCTTCCCTAACTCTAACTCACACTCTTCCTGCTGCAATGGGTCCCTTCTCGGACGCAGCACTTAGTACTACCGGCCAGAGTGCAGGCTTGGAGGGAGGCTGGATTAGAATGCTCGCTCAAACACTTAGCAGCTGTTACCTGGGCTTCAGTTTTCAGGGCTGTAAAATTGGAATAATTTTGTACCTTGCTGAGGCCAGAGCCTGGCCCTCTGGAAGTATTATTTCCCTCTGTCCCTCTCCAGGGGCTGGTGAACCCCTCGTCTGGAAATCTCTCGAAGCCGGGAAGGCAGTGCTTGGTTCACTTTGGTCTTTTTCCCCAGAGTCCTGTGGTTCCTAGGCCCTACAGGCCTCTCTGCTTATTACTGGGTCCTTGGTCTCTCTGGACTGTGCAGCCCTCGCACACTTCCTGGCCCAGTCCCCTCCCCTCAGGTTCTCATCACTTCTGGTCCTGCCTTGTGCCTCCTTGGTGGATGTGGTTCCTCCGGCCCTCAGAGCCCCATAGGCCGTATGACAGTTGGAGGGTAATAGAGGATTGTGTAAAGTCCAGTACTGGATCATGTCGGGTGGGCTACGCATGTTGCATGGAGTGAGTTCAGCTAGGGAAAGAGGTCCCAGGGCGATTGAAGCTGAGGTCCTCCTTCAAGGGATAAGGATAGTCTGAGGGTGGTGAGCATGGCAGGATTTGGCTGCATTGTCATGGTGTGAGGCTTTGTGGAGGCTCTGCCTTTCCCCTCCACCCACAATCACCAAGCCCAACACCAGAGGCAAGATGTGGGCTGTGTGGGCTGGGGATGGCAGTGGCAAGCTGCAACCCTGAGGGTCTGAGTGGCAACTGTGATGAGTGCTCCAGAACTAATACGGCTCTCAATCACCTCGAACTACAGGGACATCTTGTTATGTGAGAAATTATACCAACCACATCTGTTGAGGAGAAATCAGGTTAAAGTTTGGTTATTCTTTTTAAAGCCTCCAAAGGTTTGCATCCATCCAGAATATTCTAGAAGTAGAATGGTGTATAGGAGAGAAGATGTGGGTTTCAAGTCAGAAGCCCTGCATTCATGGCGGGGCTCTCTGGCCTCCGTGTGATCCCGAACCCGCAGGTCCTTGTTTTTGCTCTGGGCTTCGATACAGACTGGCTAGACCTTCCCTCCTACAATCGACAAAATGGAAGCTGGTCTTTCCACAGACCCTCTTTTCTTCTGACTGTTCATATATTTCATGTTCAGAGAAAGACTCAGAAAAGTTTAGTGCCTGTGACCTTGTGGTGGGCGCAGGCCAGGTCCAACCCTGTGCAGAGGTAAAGCTGACCCACCTGCAGGTTGTTCGAGTACCCCTGGTGACCCCTTCACGGCTGACATCCCACCATGAGGACATTACTCCACTGGGTTAGGGCTTCATACTTAAGAAGCTGGTCTGTAAAAATGAGAACTTCCTTGGGGGAAAAGGGAGTCCCCATGTCTTTTTTGGGGACGTGATGTGGAGGGCGCAGTGGGAGGTGGGCACCATGGGTGGGAGCAGAGCCTGAAAACACTTTGTGATGACTTCAGGGTTTGCTGCTGAGATTTCACTCATCTTCCCCTGTGACACATGCATCCCCACAAACATATACCAAGGACATAACTGAGGACCAAGAAGTCACAACCTAAGAAACTGTCGCTGGGGAAGAGTTTGCTGTGAAACATCATTTTATTAACTAATTTTATTTTATTTTTTTTACAAAAATAAACAATTTAATGAACAAGAAGTACAAAAGATTCTGGATATTCAAACTCCAGGAAGGGGGAGAGCCTGGTTTTGGCTGCTTTGCGGCTTTCATTGAAAGCAAATGAGGCAGAAAGGCCCCGGCCCCACCCCCACCCCAGGTCCTGGCTCAAACCGCACCTGCTCCCCGACCCCAGTCTTGGCTCATGCTGAGGTGTGCACCTCTGCCCCTGACCCCTGGGCTGGCCTGGGAGTGCCTGCCCCCTGTCAGGAGGTCAGAGATAGCCTCCCCAGGTACAGAATCACCCACATCCTGGAGCTTCCCCCGCCAAGTCTCCTGTCCAGACCTCAGCTGAGAGAACACTCAGCGATGGATTGTCCCCACGCAGCCCCCCGCCTGCCGTGGCAAGTGCAGCAGCAGCAGCAGCAGCAGCAGCAGCAGCAGCAGCAGCAGCAGGGGCTTTAGCTACATTCTCACACTACTGAACACAGTGACGGGGCTGCTCACGGAACTGTCCCAGGGAGGGACACAACCCCCACTGGGGAGACTAGCCTGAGCTTGCTTGCAGCCCAGAGGGTTGGAGAGGCAGTCATCCCCCCAAGATTCCTGGACTAGGAGCCAGCAGTCCCATAGCTAGGCTGGTAAACTCACATTTTAACATTTGGCATTATTGCACGTTTGTCCTGGTCACATCGATCTGTCTGGGATGTCAGCTTTGTCTGCAGGGGTTCCCAGGTGACATGCAGCGCTGCCAGTGCAAGTCACTCCCTCCACAGGCAAGCCCTGCTGCTGAGGATAGTCAGCTGGTCAGCCAAGCCCTCAGACAGGTCAGCCTGAGGCCTTCACATATGTGGTCTTGTTGGGATCAGGGACCACTTGGCTCCATCCAGTCTTGAAAAAGACCAGCTGTCGACCTGGGGGGCAGAGGTGAGAGGTAACAGGGCTGGATGTTTCTCTTCCTGGATGCAGGGCCATTCTCCCTAATTTGACTGCCTTGAAGACACGTATACCTCTCTCTCATCATCTCAGCACCCCCCCTGACTTACGATGGGCAACCACTATCTATCAACCTCCAGAGAGGTCCTGCCATCTCCCTTAGAAGGGCTTCTCCCACTGGCTCACCTGTCCAGGTGGTCTGGTTGGTGACCACAAAGGCCCGACACTGGGCATGGCTCTCACAGACATCCACAGCCTCAGCCAGGTTGAACACTGAAAGGAGGCAGCTCCCATGGTGGTAGGATGGCCAGCAGCGGTAGTCCTCCTGGGGGATGGTGCTGTCTGGGATGCGCTGGTACTCTGTGGGTTGGGGATGGAGTGAAATGAGAACTCTGTATGCCCAGGTTTGAGCGCCCAGGGATGTGTCACTTTCTGAGAAGGGCAGCAAGACTCATCACCTAGGTCAAAGCTAAAGTCCAGCCCAACCCTCTAGCATGGAGATGAAGGCGGCTACCACTGTTGAAACTGGGCTGATTCATCAAAAAAGACAAAGCACAGACTTGGTTTTCAGGAGATACATATCTCCCAAATCTAAGGGCACATAGCTGGGTCAGGCAGTACAAGATAGCAGGCACATGCAAGGGGGACAGACATATACAGGGACCCATGGAGTCCCAGCTGTCTAGGCGAATTGCTGAGGTCAGGACATTTTAGAGAGAGCCAAGGCTTCTCAAACTTCAATGTGCACGTGAATCCCACCAAGGACTCTTGTTAAAATGCAGATTCTTTTTTTTTTTTTTTTTTTTTTTGATGGGGTCTCACTCTGTTGCCCAGACTAGAGTGCAGTGACACAATCATAGCTCACTGCAGCCTTGAAATCCTGGGCTCAAGGGATCCTTCCATCTCAGCTTCCCGAAGTGCTGGGATTACAGCTGTGAGCCACCATGCCCCACCAAATGGAGATTTTGATTCTGTAGGTCTGGGGTGAAACTGAGAATCTGCACTTCTAACCAGCATCCAGTATGGCCTGCAAGGGTTCAGAGCAACCTTCATTCACATTTTCTCCTGGCCTTGGGGAGAGAAGTTAGGCAAGTTCCTCAGAAGGGCCTGGGATGGAAGGGAGTCAGGGGTTTTTGAAGTTAAGAGGTATGCAAATGGACTAAAATGCAAAAAATCCATGGCTAGAGTGGGGACGGGGCTGGAGGGAAAATCTGAGATCTCATTCTACAGAGAGAGCCTCAGAAGCTCTGAAAACTCACGATCCAGTGAGCTGCTCGGCTGCTGGCCTCTTGTTTGCTCCTGTCTTTCCCACTGCCTGGAGAGCCCCAGCTCTGGGCTGATAATGCAGAAGCCCTGGGCCTCTGGCCACCCGGCCCCTCCTGCCTCCTTCTACCAGGGACTAGACCAAAGTCCAGGGCTGACTGTGATTTACAGCCCCATAAACGGCATCCTCAGGGACAGAGCCAGCCATTGTTCACCTCGTTAAACTTTATTTACAGGGCTAACAGGGCTCCCCTACCCCTAAGACTAGCCAGAGCTCCTTGAATATGGACGCTGCTCACCCCTCAACCCCTGCCAACCCCAGCGAAACCCCAGGGCTTCAGCAGAAGGACCACAGCCTGAAACCAGTGGCCAGAATTCTCCCCCTGCCCTTGGAGCTTCCTGGCTGGTTTCCGTGTGTGCCTCCCCTAACATCCAGTGCCCTTCTAGCCCCGGGAGATTAGAGGAAGGAAAGGGAAGCAAACATATATATACTGTGTTCCAGCCGTGTCATAGGAACTGCACTAATTGCTTTCACACATTTCACCTGACATTTAATTCCCATAAGAATTTGGTGAGGTGGGTAATGGTGAACCCAATTCACAGATGAGGAAAGTGAGGTTCAAGGGGTAACTTGCTCAAAGTCACATAGCCAGTACATGATAGGGTTTGGAGCCATCCAGAGTAGGGTGTCAGTGTCCACCCCCAGGTTGAAGGCAGAATTATAGTTGCTCTAGCTCAGCTAGAGATGGAACCTCAGATTACTCCATGTCAGCCCCTCCACGATTCTATGTGAGCCCCTAGAGTGGCCTTTGGAGACAAGGGTAACCAGAGAAAGGGTTATAGAGAAATAGGCCACTTAGCCTAATTGGGTGGGGTCATTCACCCTCCCACCTGTTTCTCGCTTCTCTGTGGATCAGGTTGGGGCCACTCACCAGTACTGCTGCTTGCCGTGGAGTTCTGCAGATACTGCCCGCTCCGATACAGGTGCAGCACCTTCTCCAGCTGGGCCAGGGTCTCGTCCACCCCCCAGGTGAGCTCTCCTGCAGAGTGCAGTGTGGCTAAGACAGGAGGCCTGGGGCTCCCACTCCTCCCTGAAGTCAGCAGCCAGCTGCTCCCAGCTCTGCCTCCAGAGCCTGTGCCCCAGTGAACAGAAGGTTGGGGAGTGGGGAGGTTGCAGCAGAATGCCACCTTAGGAAGTGATGGTTTCTGGACCCCCTGCCGCCCTGGGTTATTTTTCTCCCCACTTTTGCTGGGGGGGTGTGCGGGGGGGAAGGTGCCTGGAAGCAGATGGGCCCTGGAGAGCTCACCTGTGGCGTTGACAATGCTGTCCAGCAGAGGACGCAGTGAAGGCGGGGCACTGTGAGGCAGGAGGTATGTGAAGAAAAACCTGTGGCAGAGAGAAACCAGTGGCTCAGGGATCCAGCCTTTGGAGACACATCCTTCCTCTATTCCAACCTGGGGTAAATGCTAACCTGGCCAGGGAGCCGGATCCCTCAGGCTTAGCAACCAGGCAGGCTGCTGTGAAGTCTACTCAGCCTCAGGGGAGGGGGCTGGGCGCATGCTAAGACCACACCTAACTTCACACTAACCGAAACCAGGGGCCTGGTTCCCATCCCTTCCCAGGACTTGCCCACCTCCCAGCCCCACATCATCCCCTGACGGACCCCCGGTGTCAGAGCAGCCCCATGGCTGGGGCCCAGTGAGGAATTTCCCAGAGCACAAGGGCCTGGGTAGGAACGGAAAAGTGCCAGTTCCAGCAGCCCTAGGCTCCGAGTCCAACACTATTTTAAGAAGCTTCCAGCTGCCACCCCCTAACACAGATTCTCCTTGGAGCTATTTTTAGCCTCCCCATCAGAAGCCTGAACGTTCCCTTCTGGACAGGGTAGAAGCCTTCCCTCACTCTGGTCAAGGCTGAGTCTCCCTGCCCAGCTGGCCTCCACGTTGCTTCTCTTCCTGCCATGCCCTCCTGGCCCATTCTCCTTCGATGGAGTTCCTGAATTGGGGGTGGAGGTCACCTGTAGGCATTATAGAGGTTCCGCTTCTCGTTCATGCCCTCGCACCAGCCATGAGCTGAGCAGGGCAGGGTGAAGTTCCTGGCTGGAAATTCGAGTATGCAGTCAGCACTGCCTGCACACGGCGTCTCCTCCACACGTGCATCATCCAGGTCCGTCACCTTGAGCTCCCCATCCACCAGCACAAACTGCCGCGGGCGGAAGTCCAGCAGAGTGACGGAGCCCAGTGGGGAGTGGGCCAGGTGGTGGAGGAGGCGGCCCAGGCTCAGGCAGATCTGAGGGGCAGAAGACAAGACTGCTCACTGCCTCTCTCCTGGGTGGGGGTCTGTGGGACTCGAGGGCGCCCTCCTTGTGGAATCTGAACTTTGCTTGTGGGGGTTGGCACTTCTCTTCTGTAGGTCCCAGTGCTCCACAAAGGCCAAGGTCAGCAGCCTTAGAGAGGAGGCCAGTGAGTTCCTATTAACTCTCAGCTGGCCTGACCCTGCAAATGATATGGAGTGGGTGGGAAACGGCAGCAGCGAGGGTCTGGGGGTAATGCATCTCTTCCCTGAAGTTGCATCCTGAATGTAGTTTTAGTTCAGTGTATGGAAGTAGCGGGAGGGTCAACATGGTATTAAGGTCTTTCCTCATTCTAGGACACTGGCCCTCCCACGGTCAGGCTGAGTGTGAGTGTGTGAGTGCTCCCCTCTTTAAGGTGCCAGCCCCCACAAGCTGGTGTGTACACGGGCACAAGGAAGGGTGAGGAGGGCAAGAGCACAGAATGTTGGGATCCTCTATGTCTTCCTTCTTTTTTGAACACTTTGGCCGGTGTGCGCCTTCTGCCCCTCCCTCTCCCTGGGTGGAGGAGGAGTGGGGGCTGCTCTGGAAGGCTGGCCTTCTAAGGGAGAACCATCCTAGCAAGGAGCCCAGGGCCCGAGCCCTCCTCTAAGCTCACTCGGAATCGATCCTCCCAGGAAGTTTGCAGCAGCTGGATCATTTCTACAGGGGCGCCCAGCTCCGTGATGGTGGTCAGGGTGTCTGGGATGTCCTCGCTGTCCTGGTAGCAGTAGCCATAGAGCTGGGGAAAGCCGAGGGCAGGTCATTAGGTCACAGGGTGGGGGTGGGGACAGGGAAGGGCTGGACTGTCAGGTTCCCCCTCTCTCTCCCCCCACCATCCCTAGGCCTTTGCTTCAGCTCAGGCCAGAAGAGAATGCAGCGTTGCCTGGGAAGCATGCCCTCTCTCCCCTGTAGTCAGACTTCCTACTCATCATGCCAGCCCCTCACCCCTTCCGACTCAGGTAAATGGGCAGGTCTGGCCACTGGGAGTTAACCACGTGCCAGGCACCCTGCTAAATTGCTCTATGTGCATAACTCAATTCTTATAATGGGCACGGTAGGTACTATTATTATCTCCAACTTCAGGTGAGGAGGCTGACTCAGAGAGGTTAAGTTGCTTGCATAAGGTGGCACAGCCGATCAGTGCAGGAGCTAAGATGTGAATTTGTGCCACTCGGATTCTACAACTTGTTTTTCTTTCTTTCTGTCTTTTTTTTGTTTTTGTTTTTTGAGAGAGCCTCGCTCTGTTGCCCAGGCTGGAGTGCAGTGGCATGATCTCAGCTCTGCTCCACCTCCTGGGTTCAATCAATTCTCTTGCCTCAGCCTCCCGAGTAGCTGGGATTACAGGCACTTGCCACTATGCCCAGCTAATTTTTGTATTTTTAGTAGAGACAGAGTTTCACTGTGTCGGCCAGGCTGGTCTCAAACTCCTGACCTCAAGTGATCTGCCTGCCTTGGCCTCCCAAAGTGCTGGGATTACAGGCGTGAGCCACTGTACCCGGCTACAATCTGTTTTTTCTAAGGATGCTGTTTGCTAAAACACAAGCCAGCATACGGTTGGGCATTATCCCTCCTCCCCTCCTCCAATCTGTATCCCTCTCCATTTCTACCTTCTGGCAGCTTCAATTTTCTCTGTGTGGGTCTTGAGGGAGGAAAAGCAAGTTCCCTCAGATTGGTAACAAGTGTTGATAAGAACAAGGTACCTAAGGGCACATGCCGGGGTGTGTTTTGCATATAGGTGATGTATATCAGTGGGGTTGGTAGTGAGTGATGATTCCTCCTGGAAGATCAGTTCTTTCGGGGTTACCCTCACAGGGAACTGCCCGCTCGATATCATACGGGGAGAAGCTCTGCACTGCCCAGGGACTTCTGGGGAGCACAGTCTGACTGTCACTACCACCTAAACAGCATCCTCAGGCTTCTCCCTGGCTCTTCCAGCATACTCCACAGCAGCTAGAGGCTCGTATGGTGCTCAAAACCACCAGCACCCTGTGGGGTAGAAACACAAAGGCCGAGTTGTCCAGGCCTGACTGGGGGAGAGGAGAACTATGCAGTGGAGGGGTGGGGATGCTGAGCCCATGGCCTGGATATCCCTGTGCACTGTCACCCTCATACCATCATTCACACCCTCCCCAGAGCCACTCTAGGTCCTCACATGTCCTCTTTCCGCCCCAGGAGTGCCCCCTCAGCTCTCCATCATCCTGCTGGCATGGGGGAAGGCCTCCCTCTTGGGCTGTGACTTGGGGGGCCAGGGCAGCTCCAGGCACCCTCTTCTCTCTCCACCCCCTTCCCATCAGTCCAGGGAGGCCCCAGATCCTGGTGGGGTGGGGGGAAGGTAAGGGGAACAGCCCTGGGGCCTGGTTCTCATTTTCTTGCCCAGAGTCTGAGCCTTTGTGGGAAACTTCTGAAGGTTATTAAACACCCGGAGGTCGTTAAATGCGCTGTTAACGAGGTATTAATCAACACCCCTCAGGAAAAAATAAAAAGACACCATTAACCCCCCCCAGGAAGCATGAGGCTGAGCATTTCAGTCACATCTTTTGTTCGGTTGGGAGAAGAAATATACTTTAGCAGGGCCAGAATCTGGGCCCAGGCAGGCCTGGGGGCCCCAGGATGACAGGGGAGAGGTGGGGAGAGATTGAGGGGAGGGAAGACCCTTGTGCCCTTTGGCCCTGGGCTATAGAGGAGTCAGTCACGTGAGGGAGTGTGTGTGCGTGTGTCAGGGGCGGGATGGGGAGGGGTCAAAGAAGATGGATGGAAAGATCTCTCGCCCAGGCAATCCCCATGACCAGAGAAAGCCCTGGGAGGTGCAGAGTGGGGCCTGCTAGCCTGGGCATTTTCTATTAGAATCCACAGCACCAACTCTGCGCTGCTCAGAGAGGAAGGGTGGTTGGCCTGCACCACTAGGAACTCTAGAAATGTTCTCTGACTCCTCCCCAGTTCAGCAAACAGTCAAATGGTTTTGAAATTTTAAATGACTCATAGGTATTAAAGCAGCATTATTTCTAGTTCTCTGTACACCTGCCCTGAAGCCTCCTGGCCAGGAAGACCCCACTGTAGGCTTCCCTGCCAGCAAAGACAGCCAGTTGAGGAAGCCAGGGCGACACGGGCCTGGTGGTCAGATGAATGGGGGAGAACCACCCTCAAAGCAGTCCCTAAACTCACACTAAAGGGCCCCCCACTTTTCCTGGGTAGAAAGGACCTGTGACCCTCTCTCCCTTAGCAACCCTGTGCCCTGGGGCCACTAACTCTCGTCTGGGACTCTACAATAAAGAGTCACACAGCCAACCCCAGACAACCCTGGTCTTGGTTTGGTGAGGGAAGGGTGAAAACTCTTCTGTTGTAATTTGTTCTTTGGTGCCTTCAGAATTGGGCTGGGGGCCTGACATTTCAGAGGAGGACCGTCCTGTGATATATGCGTGGGGCGTTAGCTGAATGCTTGTCAGGAAGTTTGGGCTGGCAGGAAGAGTGAGGGAGAAATTTCTTAAAAGATAGGAAAGCACATCAAACATCAAACTCGTCTGAAGGGAGAGAGGTCTTGAGTCAAGTAACTAAGACTTTATGTCCTGCTAAGTCACTCAAGATCTCTCCACTCCCTCAGTATCTGGCTGACACCCTAGAGTTTCCAAAAAGTTCCCAAGAGTCCCTGGGAAGCAAAGAGTACAAGATCCTCCCAGTCAGAATGGCCACGTAACCAGGGGCTCACTCCCTGAAGCTGCAGACACAGTGTGAGCCGTGCAGCCGGGCTTCACCACACCCAACTGTTGGTTCTGCCCGAGCTCCCGAGACCAGGGCCCGGTCACAACTGTCTGACCAGGGTGGGGGAATACAATGGAGGAGGGCGAGACTGGGAGCCAACAGGAGTATAAACAGCCTTTCGGCCAATCTCTCCTACTCTACGATGCCCACCCATCTCCCTCCAGGGCTGGGGCGCCATCTCACTCCTGAGGAAAGGAGAGAGGGACTCCTGGGTTTCCGGTCATTTCTGCCGGGTGCAGAAAGGTTAGTTTGAGTGGGCTAGGAGGTGGAAGGTGTGTGCAAGATTCATCCGTTGGGGAGGCTGCATACACCCCATATTCACCGGGCCAACAGCGGTCAGAGATTCCCCTCTCAGTTTGCTCAGACATGTGCAAAGGGAATAGTCTGTCTAATCTTAGGATGGAGGGAGACCTGAAAGAGAGGACGTAGTGTAAGGGCAGTCTGGGACTGTGAGAGGCCCACTCTAAGTCTAGCTTGAGGGGACAAGGTGGGGGTTTCAGCTCTCCCGTGTGTCTCCAGTGAACGGGCGAGGCAGAGTCCCATTGAGTAGGAACCTGGGCATTTGGCCTTCTCAACCTTCCAGCCTCTTGGCTATCTATATACACTCTGACAGTGTGACATTTAGATCCTCAGGCCGCCAGTCTGTCCACTGAGCTGAGACCTTGAGGCTTCTCCAGGGGCTCAAGGACCCACTTTAAGGTCTGGGGAACCCTTGGTTCACTTCTGGGAAGAGCTGTGTTCCCTTTTCCTAGCCTGCTCCCCAGCCCCCTTCCAGTGTCTTCTGGGGTGGCGCTGGGGGTGGGTGGGTGGGGAAATTCTATGGGAATCAAGGCAGACACTTGGTCTCTTTCCAGCCCTTCCCAACCCCGTTGCTGTCCCGTTTCATTTTCAAAACCAGACAAATCACTGGAAGTTGAGAGAAGTTCCATCAAGAAGGGGGACTTTATCACACAGTTGTAATTCTGACTCCAGTGTCTTGGCTTAGGGTCATTTTGGCTTGGGGTAATATCCCTGGTGTTCAACCTCCTAACTCCAGCCCAAAGTACAGTCCTAAGCGCTAATGGACTGCCCCACCCCTGAGTTTTGGGAGCCTCTGTCCTGGTCTGTCTGTAAGAGATGTGGAAGCGGAGAAGCCCAGGAGTTCTTCGGTAAAGGGACGCCCACCCAGAAGCGAGAAGCAGGGTGGTGCAGTGGGAAGCACCATGGTCCGGCTTCTGCGTCTAGCTTAGCCTGGGCGCAGTCACTGGCACTCCAGATCAAGGGTTTATCTTCCAGCCAGGCTGACAAGGTCTTGGGCACTCCCAGCCAACACCGTCACCCCCGCGTCCCCACCCTCGTACCTGCAGCACGTTGGGGTGCCGCAGCCGCTCCAGCAGCACCATCTCCTTAAGCAGCTTGTGGGCCGCCAGCCGATAGCAGCCCCTCCGTACCCCGAACTCGCGCACGCAGCTGCCCAGATCGTGGCCGCTGAAGTCCACCGCCTTGAGCGCCACCACGGCGCCGCCAGGCAAGCGGACCCGGTACACGGCCTTGGTGTAGCCTGAGCCCACGTACTGCGCGCCGGACACGTTGCGAAGCGCGGCGCAGCCCAAGCGCGGGCCCGGGCCGGGGGAGCCTGGGCCGGGAGCCGGGGGCCAGCCTGGGGCGCCGTCGGGCAGGGGCCGGGCCCAAGGGGGCCGGGGACGCTGCAGGCCGGGCCCGCCCGGAGCCAGGTCCATCAGGCGCCGCCGCTCCGGCCGGCCCGCCCCAGGCCCGGGGCCCCCGCGGGAATAGCGCTGCACCTCCTCGTAGCGCGCCCGGATCTGCCGGGCCAGCTCCCCGCGGCCCCCGCGACGGCTCGGGCCCGGGGCCGGCGAAGGCTCAGGGGACTGGCCTGGCCTCGGAGGCTCCGAGCCCGGAGCGAAGAGCACGTTGAGGACGGAGCCCAGCAGGAAGGAGGCGCAGAAACCCGCGGCCACTGCCGCCCGCCGGCGCCGCATCGCTCCCCTCCCCCCGGCCGGCCGGCCCCGCGCGGCTCCCCGGCCCCGGCCCCGGGCGGCTCAGGCTCCGAGGCGGCTCCGCTCTGCGCCCCGCTGGCCCCCTGCCCAGCCCACGCGCATGGCCCCAGCGGCCCCGACCCCGGCCCCTCGCGGGCGACACATCGGCCTGACACTTGCCTCCCTGCCGCCCTGCCCCCGCCGCTTATAAGGCCCGGAGCCGCCCCCGCCCCCGCCCCCGCCCCCGCCCCCGCCCCCGCCCCCGCCCCTCCGCCTCCGCCTCCCAGCTCCCGGCCCGAGCCCGTCCTCGGCACCGCCCCCTCCGGCCGCCCGGCCCGGCCTTCCCCGCTGACTGACAGCGGGACCTCCTCCCGCGGCCGTCCCGGCCTGGGAAGCGGCGCGGAGGCGGCTCCGGCCCTGCCCAGCCCGCTGTCCCCCAAGCTCCGTCTGGGGCGTGGGGAAGGGGGCGGCGGCCAGGAGGCGCGCGGGGACTCCGCGCCTAACGCGAGGGCGGACAACGGGGCCGGGGCGGCCGGATAACGGGATCGGGAAGTGGATAACGGTGCCGGCCGGGCGGAGTGGGAGGAAGATAAAGGGGCGAGGCCGGCGGGTAACGGGCTCCGGAGGGGACGGGCAGCTAAGTCCGGGGTGCGAAGATCCGAGTGATCTCAGCGCTGCCTCCTGGGACTGGAGGCCTCGGGGCGGTTTGGGCTCAGGGAAGGCGCGTGGACCCCGCCTCTCGCGGGTGGGGCCGGGGGTGGCGGCTCCTCGCTTAGCCCCGGATTCCGCGTTGGGGCGTTGGTGAGGGGGAGGCGGGCGCAGCCGGGCCAGCACCTGCGAGCGCGCGTGGGATAGGAGCTCTAGGCATAGAGGAATGCTCGTGAACTCGCCGGAGATGCCCTGTTCAACTCCTTTTACTAAGTGTTTCTGATTTTCCTTGCCCCTAAAGCCCCAAATGCAGCTGGGAGTCGCTCCCTACCCCCCAGGATGCCTGGGGTCTGACGGGGTCAGCCGCGTACCGGGAACCATGTGCATGCTAGTAGCTTGCGCAAAGAGTGCGATTGTGCCCACGGACGGCTGTCTGTGGAGTGTGTGCCTCGGTGTGTCTGAAGGGGCCATTGTGTCCGATGAAGGGAATGTGTACCTTGTGTGTAAGTTGGTGCTGACGCCACCAGAACTTCGGTCCCTCCTCCTCCCTCCCTGATTGCATCATTAGTGCTAATTGAGGGGCTTTCACACACCAGTGCATTAGCTGTTTGGAGTGAGCTCCCCCCTCCTGGGAGAGATAAGCCGCTGCCCCTCCCCCTCGCAGCTCTCCTCTTCCCCGCCGCCCTGACACTGCCCACCTAGATCCTCTCACCTTCCTGGGCAGCTTCCTGCCTCCCTCTGGGCCAGGTTAATCTCTGTCGTCCTCATAGTGTCAGGGATTGGCTGGGGAGGGGTCAGGGAGGAGAAGGGTCCAGAGCCTTTTTTTCTGGGGGGGGGGGGGGGGGGGGGGGTTGGGGGGTTGTCCAGGAAGGGGAGATTTTCACTGAAGAGGTCTGGCGTTCCTACAGAATGCAGTGTCTGTGATGAGAAAGGGACCGGAATTTATGCCCTGTTCCTTTGGACATGGAAGGACCAAGGAGACAGCTGAGTCCAGCCCCGACTTCCTTGTTCTCTATGGCTTGGGGAGTTGGGGCCCAGTCCGACTTAGCAAGTGTGGAAAGGCAGGGTGAAGGAAGCCATGATTCCTCCGAGAACGCTGGGTCTGGTGGAGTCCGGTCTGTACCGATGGAGCTGTTCACGCTCTGGGCCGTGGCTGCAGGGTGTCGGGGGAAAGCTCTGAGCAGATGCCCTCCCCAGCCTTACACCAGATGTCTTTGGTCTAATTAACTGTGCTGGGAAAACCAACCTGGGTTTGTAAACAGAGCTACTGGCTAAAGTCAACAGGGAACAGCAGCAAACAGCAAACATTCCCCTCACACTCAGCCTCGGTTCAATTCAGGCCCCTGGGGAAAAGGGGGAGCTGGGTGGATCAGGAGGCCCCCCGGCCCACAGCTGAATCAGGAAAAGCCTGTCTGTCTGTGTCACCCCAATATGGCTGCTAGTTCCTTATCAGTTCCATGTCTTCTCTTCTGGAGAGGAATGAGGATTCTGGGAGGAACAGTTGCCATCCCAAGATAGGCTCTGTCCTCCTTCCAGCAATTTCCCGATAGACATCTACCCAGCCAAACATCTCAATCCGTGAGGGAGCTGTTGTGGGGGAATATTCCCTGAAGAGCCTTCTTTGGGGCCTGCTCTGCCCTTGTGTCTTGGAGAAACTTCTGAGGGTAAAACTTGGCATTGTGAGTCTATAGCTCAGAGTAGGTGAATATAACGTGAACATTGTTAAGTTCGTTACACATCATGTAGGTATTATAATAACATGTTCTGAAATTAGATAATTCTTCCTGTGATATCTTTGCCAAGCTTCAGTGTTTCTGTTATGGTTTGAAAGTTCAAGGCACACAGGGGCCTGAGAAACAGGCACAAATGTGCGTGCAACGCACACAGGTCCACGGAGCAGTACGGAGCAGTAGCTTACACAGCAACAAAGGCCTCTCAGTGGCCTCCCTCTCATACTCACTGTCTCCCTCACCAGCTCTCAGACACACGGACATACACAATCTGAGATGGAAATGGATTTTTGGCTTCTGAAAGAAAAGGATTGAACTTTTTGAGCAGATTAGAGTTTCTGAATTGGCAGTTCTTGAGTTCTTAACTGTATTTTGCTTATTTGGTTTTTTTTTTTTTTTTTCCTGCCACCCAGGGAGAGGAATCATTTCAAAGAATTGAAATACATGAAATGCTACTGCAGGCCCCTGATCTGCAGTCTGCCCATGCACTCAAAGACCAGGTGGAGCCCATAGCCTGGGCCTCACAGGCCAGAGTCTGCAGGCCAGTGTCCAGCTCAGAGCCCTCAGTGCCGTCTTCATACAGGAGCCATCAGATGGCCGTCCTCCCTGTCTCCCCCAGGGCTTCTGGCAGTCCTCACACCACAGTGTCTGTGCGAGGTCTAGAAGGCTCAACATGTCCAATGCTCTATGTTTTCTTGCTGCCTGTATGTTTCTGCCATGCTCCTACCCCACTCAAAACACTTAACTTGGATATTAATCCTTGGGAAGAGGGCAGATGGCCCAGACTCCAAAATGCTAAATTTCCTTCAAAGTGTCTTTTCAATATCTTTTTTTCTGCATGTTTCTGTCACATCATCCTAGACTGTCTGAAGGGTTATTCCAGCCTCCCAGCTGCCTTCTTTATTGTCCACCTTTTTCCCTGCAGGCCAAGACTCAGACACCTCTTTTGGAGTATTACTCTTCTACTCAAAAACGGGAGGATAAGCTGAACTGGCCTTCAGGCCTCCATGAGCTGGCCCCAGCCCCCCACCTAGGCCTGTGTCCCCCTTTCCATTCCTCCACACAAAGTCAGACTCCCCAACCAGGTGCCTGTACTAGCTCCTGCCCCAGCCATCATCTGCGCTTTCCCATCAGTGCCTTCTCTCCCAGTTCCTTTTCCTGAAATACGGTCTTCTAGCCTTTCCACTTAATCTTTGCCAAGTGATGCTTCCAGGCCTCCCAGAAGGTGGTAAGGTAGAGATAATGCTTCTGCAACTGGGGTCCTGTTGCAGAAGGTCCTTGGGATATTGAGTGTCTATTCTTAGAGTTTTGTGGAGAAAAGAAATGTACAAAATACATTTCTCAGGTCTTGGAAAACTTGACATAAAGAGCTTGGGATTCGGAATCAGGGATTCAATCTTATTAATCAGTGACCTACTAGTATTTACACGAATTTCAAACAAACATCTGTGACAACATCTTAGACAACTTGTTTGGGTATAACTCTGCCAGGGGACAGAAATAACTTGAACCTCTTTTATTCTTTCTTTTCCCTCCCTCCCCCCTCCATCCCTCCCTCCCTCTCTCTCTCTCCTTCTTTTCTTTTCTGATAGGGTCTTGGGTCTTGCTCTGTTGCCCAGACTAGAATGCAGTGGCCTGATCTTGGCTCACTGCAACCTCCACCTCTCAGGCTCAAGTGATTCTCCCACCTTAGCCTCCCAAGTAGCTAGGACTATAGGTGTGAGCCACCATGCCCAGCTAATTTTTGTATTTTTTTGTGTAGACAGGATCTCACTATGTTGCCCAGGCTGTTCTTGAGCTCCTGGGCTCAAGCAATCCTCCCACCTCAGCCTCCCAAAGTGTTGGAATTACAGGGTTGAACTACTTTCTTTTGTTTTTCTTTTCCTTTTTTCTTTTTCTTTTCTTTCTTTCTTTTTTTTTTTTTTTTTTGGGAGATGGAGTCTCACTCTGTCACCCAGGGCAGTGGTGCGATCTTGGCTCACTGCAACCTCTGCCTCCCGGGTTCAAGTGATTCTTGTGCCTCAGCCTCTGGAGTAGCTGGGATTATAAGCGCAGGCCACCAAGTGTGGCTAATTTTTGTATTTTTAGTAGAGACAGGGTTTCACTATGTTGGCCAGGCTGGTCTCAAACTCCTGACCTCAAGTGATCCGCCCACTTTGGCCTCCCAAAGTGCTGGGATTACAGGCGTGAACCACCGCGCCCGGCCTGAACCACTGTCTATCCTGTTTCCCATAGGTGAAATCTCTTGACCTCCTGGGCTCTTTTGTGCCTGGAATTTCCCCTTTCTCCCAAATCAGCAAACCAGTAGTCCATCACAGGAGGCCTCACCACTTCCCCTACACCGTGGTGAGCTTCAGAGGGAAGACCATGAATCAGGACCTGGGCTGAGCCTCCTGATGCCAGAGTCTGAGCGCAGGGACAGCCCCAGCTTGTCCTCCCAGGAGCAAGGCTGTAGGGGAGGGGACTGATTCTGAAAAGAGTGGGGGAAAGGGTGGAGCCAGGCAGCCGCTCCTCCACCCCCACCTCCCTCAGGTAGGAAGTGAAGCTGATGTTTCCAAAATATAAAAAACAGATGATGAAGGTCAGGTTTCCCACATGCTGGAGAGCGGGAGCCCCAAGGCAGAGTCCCTAAAACATTGGAGGCAGAGACAGAGGAGAGCGCGAGCGAGTGTGCAAGCGTGAGTGCAGAGATAGATAAACATGAAGAAACAGAGAGAGAGACAAAAATTTCTGAATCCTGAGAAAAGTAGTTGAACGAAGACAGAGGAAGCCATGGCTCAGGAGAGATGCTTCCACCCGTTTCTGGAAAAGAGCTTAGTTCCCC